TGACATATATTAAAAAAAAAGTTTTCTCATTCATTTCATTACCGTTTCTTAATCGACTCATAGTATTTCCTAAACGTAAAGTTTTATCAACCAGACAATTAATACCTTAATTAATTGAACACAATTAATTAAATTATCAATAAATCAATACCTTTTGCTGATGTGACAAGACAACGTTTACCAACTGGACATAACACTACATACCAATTCTCCTCTAAATCATTTGGTAATTCATACATCCATTCCGCATGCATTACTTGATTACTGGATTAACCGATAGAATTGTTAATTTAACAAATTAAGTTTTAAAAATTGAGTATTATTCAAATACTATTATTATATAGACGATTTATTTACCTGTATGGATTTTTTTTTTTGAATTTTCGAAATGATCCTTTTTTAAATTTACCTTTATGCCTCGCTTTCTTGATTGAAATTTTATCATTATTTTCATCATCGTCTTGTTCTACTTCAAATCTACGTTTAATAGGTTTAGTAAGTAAATCAGCACTATCGATTTTCTTTTTTTCTTCTTCTATTTCTTCTTCTTCCTCGTCATCTGTTATTACTTCACTAAGTTTATACAAAGCAAGATTCCTAGCATGTGTGAAAAAATCACATTTTCGCTAAATGATTAAATTTGTTAAAGGAGATTATATATATAAATATTAATTAATATAACTAATTAATTACAGGAATTTCCAATCCACACAATATAAATGTAAACATATAAATAAACACGAGATGAATTATATACTCTTTTCTGTTCTTCTAAAGCTTGTTTACGTCTTTCTTCTTGAGTCTCTTTCTTACTTCTAGTTAGTAAAGGTGAGGCTTTATAATTTTTTGCTCGAAAAGTTGTTTTGTTTGTTGAGATCAAGTTATTTGAAAGTAACTCACTAAGTTCATCAATAGTAGATTTTGGTGTTTGTATTATTGCTGACTCGTCATTTTTGTTAAACCCGAGAAATTCTGCAGGTGCATCGACCTGTAAATTAGTTTTTATTGTGTCTTCAGTTGTAATGACCATTGGAACTCAAAAAATAAAGATATTAATATCGATCGATTATAAATTTTTTAAGGTAGGCTAATGATCTTCCTATATGAGACTAAATAAAGTTAGTTTTATTAAATAGGTATCACACACAGAGAAAAAGAATGCTCATGTGTAATTTTTAGCTTTGCTTAGCATTAGAAAACAAAACTCTACCCAATTAATACCCAATAAAGATTTGGTATCAATGAACTAGTATCATATCCTGCTATAAGAATATCAACTACATATGGATGGGCTCTTGAAAAAATTAATCAGCTTGGTACATGTATGAGCATACCATTTGCAGTTCATGGACATGGATCATCTTGTTGTTTATCGTTGTTGGATAGATATTATCATTTCAGAATTGACACTTGAGATATTGCTTAATAAATGTTTAGACGAATTTAAAAAACAGATTCATTGTTGATCATGCTAACTTCAAGGCAAAAATTGTGGATAAAGAAGTGGATCAAAGAGATTGGTTGAGATTCGAAATGATTGATTTTTTATTTTTAGAAGAAAAAAGTTTTATTTTAAAATGAAATACAAATTATTACTTAATATCTCAACCAACTATTAATTATTATTATTTTAATTCTCTGAATAAACGATTAATATCTTTTGGATCAAATTTTTTGGTGACTTTATTTCTATCTGGTAATTTACTTCTAACTTTAGTTTTGTCTCTAAGTTTATAACTTTTGCTACCACTACCGCTACCGTTATAATTATTATTATAATTATTATAATTATCATTATCGTTATCATCATGTTCATCTTGACTATAGATAGTGGAGTGATTTAACGATTAATAATAATAACAATAGTTTCAAAAAACAATTGATAATATTTTATTGTTCGTTTGATTTATAATAAAAATATAAAGGTAAACATATAGCAACATTAAGAAAAGCAATTGTTATTATAACTGTCAAAACAATTTTTTCGATAAATGTGAATTTTCCTGCTCTAGAATTTAGAATTGATTCTTCATCCACCACAATATTTGCTGTTTGTGCAGAATAATAATAATGATGATGTTATTTTTTTTTTTGAAAAACTCTTGAAATATTTTTTTGAAAGGATTAATTTTAAAAATCATACATTTTGGAACATTTATTGGTGGATTTCCTTGATCATCTTCTGTGTCTCTCGAAGCTTCTAATTTCACCATTGCCTTTCTTAAAGATCTTTTACCCAATATAGACAATGCAATTACACAACATGCAGCAATAATAAAATTCATTGTAATAATGACAATGTCTAAAAGAATATTTTATCATATAAAAAAAAATATTAAGCTAAAGATGGGATGAATGCATGACTTGACGAATGAAATAATACCTTTTTTTTCTAAATTTGGTTTATCAATTCCACTCAAACTTTTAACCAATGATCCAATCCATACAGCATTAAAAGTTCCTGGAATTACACCAATTACAGTTGCCCAAAGAAATGTCAATAACTAGTCATTAAAATTTTGAAAAATATAATCCTTTTAATAAAAAACTAAACAAGGTTTTAATCAACATTCAAAAAAAATTTTTTTTCTTCGCCGTTATTTATAATGCATCATCACCATCGTCACCATCGTCACCATTACCATCATCATTATTACTTACATTAATTGAACTCACGGAAAAGAAATAACTTATTAAATTAAAAGGCAAAGGTGTCAACCTTAACATCACTACAATCTTCCAACCTAAACATCAATTAACTTTATTAAATTATCGATGAAACTAAATCAACCGTTTTTTTAAAGAAATGTAAATACCTTCTTCTGCTATCACAGCATTTAAAGCTTTAAACATTGGTCTTTTTTCAACTTGAGTCACCACCCAATCCGAAAATATATACTTTCCAAACAAAAATGTACCAAGTGCTGCTAATACATCACCAATAATAATAACAAGCCCTGCTAATATTGATGGTTTGAATAAGAATCCCGCTGATATACTTATCAAAGATCTATATAATAAAATAATAA